ACATGGAACAGGGTATCGGACAGCAACAAAACATTGCTAATAGTTACAAAGAATAGGAAGTTGTGAAGAGCCATGATCGAACATGAAACAGCGTATCGGACAGCAAAAACACATTGCTAATAGTTACAAAGAATAGGAAGTTGTGGAGAGTCATGATCGAACATGGAACAGGGTATCGGATAGCAACAAAACATTGCTAATAGTTACAAAGAATAGGAAGTTGTGAAGAGTCATGATCGAACATGAAACAGCGTATCGGACAGCAAAAAACATTGCTAATAGTTACAAAGAATAGGAAGTTGTGGAGAGTCATGATCGAACATGGAACAGGGTATCGGACAGCAACAAAACATTGCTAATAGTTACAAAGAATAGGAAGTTGTGAAGAGTCATGATCGAACATGAAACAGCGTATCGGACAGCAAAAGCACATTGCTAATAGTTACAAAGAATAGGAAGTTGTGGAGAGTCATGATCGAACATGGAACAGGGTATCGGACAGCAACAAAACATTGCTAATAGTTACAAAAAATAGGAAGTTGTGGAGAGTCATGATCGAACATAGAACAGGGTATCGGACAGCAAAAAATCATTGCTAATAGCTACAAAGAATAGGAAGTTGTGGAGAGTCATGATCGAACATGGAACAGGGTATTGGACAGCATAAAATCAAACATAGTTAATAGCTTTGCAAAATAAGGCGTTTAAAAGTAGCAGCATATACGCGGAACTAAGATAATCCAATTGTCCAACTTAGTATAATCATGAACACCATATGGTAAATTTCAATTAGAAAAGAAAAGAGTGTATAAAAAACAGTCATTTTTTTAAGCGAGTCTTTTACAGCAATGCACCTAAGTTAAAATAACCGTGTCTAGGTATTCTGAATTTAACTGATTGGTTCGTTTTCTACCGATTATCAACACTTTGCAAGTTATTTAAAGCCAGAAAATATTTTTGAACTATAAGAATTTCTTTTTAGATAACAATGATACAAGTCTCACTAATTAACTAATATATCGAGGGAGAAATGAATCAAAGATGCATTTGATATTTATCACTATTTCTCGCGTGATCTGTAGTGACGTCTTGCGCCCCCACCGCTCCTGATTTTCCAAGCCTAGCTTAGATTTGGCATAAATTTGAGTTGCATTATAAAATATCACCCCCACCCCAGAAAATGGTTGTAAATATTTTTTTATTAATCTTACTTATTATAAAACGCAGATTATTGTGTGTGTGTGTGTGTGTGTGTGTGTGTGTGTGTGTGTGTGTGTGTGTGTGTGTGTCTGTACGTTTATATATTGGATCGGATTTCCTACATTTTTCAACAACTGATTTCAACAAAACTTCACAGGACTACGTAAAATTACCTTGCGGTGGTTCTGACAGCGCCAAAAATTGGAAAAAACACAATTGTTTTTGCACGAAATCAATTTCAAAACACGATTAAGAGGCATTAATAGAAAGGGGACAACTCATATCAAATTATACTTATTAATATCGAGTTATACTTATTATAAAACCCAGGTTGGTTGTTTGTGTGTGTGCGTGTGTGTGTGCTCGTTTATATATGGGATCGGATTTCCTACATTTTTCAACCGATTTCAACAAAACTTAGTGTAGTTTAGTGTTTCTTATTGTCTTGCACACTTTTTTCTTTATTTTTACATTCAGAATGCTTTAAAAATTCCATTTACAAGACAATTGTTTATAATAAAATTCTATTCAATCGGTAGACTCATAACGATTGAAAACAATGTTTTTGTTTGAGTTTGAGTTTGACCAATTCGTAAAAAGAAAAAAAAAAAGAAAAAAGAAAACTAAATAAGACATGTGTGTCCGTCAACCTTAAACAATAATCTTTGTCAATTTTATTTTTCAGTCTTTATGATGGTCGATACTTGATCTATCTCTTACTGTTACATCCCCGGGCAACGCCTGGCTCTACTGCTAGTATTAGATATAAGTTTGGAAAGAAGATGGGTGCCGCGAAGCTATCTAAAAGCTCATTAAAAGAATCATGAGCAAGAAATGTCAATCAGTTTGTTCTACCTTCAGGTCCATGATTGAGGGTATGATGATGTTAATCCTAGAACACTAACCATGGGTATATAGTACCCAGCGCAAATATTCGTATTTTTAATTACTGTTTTCAGTACTTGATTCTCTTATCTAAATAATATTTCAGTTCCTATTAATATTAATTCAAAGTAAAATGTTTGAAGTGCCTCCATGTTTGTTTGTTTTGTTTGTTTGTTTAAAACTTAACGACCCTTTCGATCAGCAAGAGATCATTTAAGGTCAAACAGTTGGTTTTGTTTTTTTTCTTCTTTTTCTTTAAATAAGGGGTGAAATGCTTTCAAAAAAGACTTTCCCTTTCCTTTCCTCCTTTTTCGATGTTGTCTTGCTTTTTGTTTTTAAAAATTCACTGTTTTCAGAGGTGCGTTGTTCTTTGAAAATTTCTCCCCTGGCAAGTATTAAAGTTCCCCCCTTTCATCATCAGACACCAAATTGTAAAATATTTCAAATAAAGATTTATATTTAATATTTTTTTGATATATTCAAAATCGGGTATGATATACCCGTGGTTAGTAGTGGTGTAACTTTGATTGATGGTTAAAGTTCTAGGGTTAATAAGCTGAAATAGATTTGCCATAGTTATCTTATAAATATAAGTAGACCCTGAAAATTTTATCCACTTCCATTGTTTAATAATTTTATGGTGAAATCATTGACTTGCATTGAATTCCATTGTGTAAACTTTGTTAATTACATATGAGACTAGATTATATTTTAAGGATTTCTTAATCAGCAATGCTTAGTATCCTCTGAGCATTTATTGTATTAACAAAAGTAAACATATGAGGATCTGTCATGGGTCAGATCAGGCACGATAAGCAGTGCGTCATTTTGAAATTGTTTTTGTTTCCTTTTTTTATTCTTTTTACAAATGAATGATCACAAGCATCAACAAAATGGATTATTTTTTGTCATAAAGCAAACAATATTAACATAATTAATTTTCATTATTTTCTTATTGTTTTTTTTTTCTTATTACTTTTTAGGGGGACAAATTAGTTGTAATAAATGCCATTGATTCTTTGTTTTTGTCTCTTTGTGGACATAAAATACTCTCAAATAGAATTTAATTGAAACCTGAATATTTTAATAAAGTCAGACTTCATTTATTATATTTAAGAAATCTAAATAAAAATCAACAGTTTTTAATAATTAAAATATTTACAGGGTAGAATAATACAGCAGTTGAGGACTTAAAATCAGAAAAGTACGTGTATATATATATAATATATATATATATATATATAGTTGTACACTCCGGCCTTCTTCTGATGGTTGGAATGTCGAACTGAACCCTTTATTTCTCTCACTGGGGTAGACTGTTCTAATTTCATGTGCCATGTTTAATGGATGTCAGTTATGAGTTATCTCCTGTTAATTTCCCTCTGAAAGTTCTCCGCTGCCTTAACTGGGTATTGAACTCACACTTTTTGGGTCCTGTCACTGGATCTAACCAACGCCTTTATCCACTGTGCCATGTGTCCTCAAGCACACATGGCACAGTGCATAAAGACGTTAGTTAACATAGATAACAGTAAGTGAAATAATGGGTTCAGTTCGACATTCCAACCACCTGAAGAAGTCCGGAGCTTACAGCGACCGAAACGTTGTAATAAATATGGCGACAAAAATGAGGACAATAGTCCGAATAATGTAAATAATATATATAAAAGAGGTACCATATACGCCAACTGGATGTTTTTCATAAAAGCTGTCTGCGTGCAATCTGTGGAGTTAACCTTCAAGGTAGGACATCTAACGTAGACCTGTTTAACAGGTGTAATATTGGAGGAATCGAGACTTTTTTCATACAGTCTCAGTTATTGTAGACTGGTCATGTCCTGAGGATGTCTGATGACAGGTTACCCAAGATCCTATTGTACAGCCAGTTAGATCAGGGCTACAGTAATGTAGGACGCCCATGGCTAAGATACAAAGAAAAGCTGAAACGCAACTTGTCAGCTGTTAATATACCACATAACACTCTTGAGCGTTTAGCCTTGGAGCGGTAGAATGGAGATCAACGTGTTTTAGTGGGATCAGCTGTTTTCAATCTGCTTGTCTGAATCATCTTCAAGAAGCAAGAGCAAAATCTAAAAGGTCAGCCAATCTAACAGTGATCTAATCTCACTATCCCCACTCTTGCTCCATATGTGGCCTCCTTTGTACATCACTAGCGGGTCTTAAGTGCCACTTAAGATTATCGCACAAAATTCCATACCTGCATCAATTAAGCTGCCAGATCCTCATACGCCGAAACCAAGCGGAGAGTCCATTATTATTATATAAAAGAATAAGACGGTATCTCCAAAAACCTTCTGTAGGCTACTGCGGTAAGTTGTAAACAACGCGTTACGCTGCCCTCGTAGTCTCTCATCGAACTAAAAGAAAAATCGTGCCGGACTATGGGATATACCGGACCACGGAGAGTCAGAGGTCAGACAGTAGAATCTTTTTTTTTTTTTTTTTTGTATTTAATTTTGGGTAAAATTTATCATGAAATATAGTTAAAGCCCATGATTATTCTTTCCTTCCACCTTAAGATTCCCGTGGGAGACATTATTTATATCTGCCCTCGGCAATTAGTCTAATCGTGTGTCTGGTTCTTTCTTTTTGCCAATACGTCTTCAAGATGCAATGGAGTGCGTCTTGGAATGGTCAATTATCATTCTATAATTGTTTTGAAGTGTGAAGCTTATAAGGGATTATTCATCTACTAATAGAGGTACTGCTTCAATTCAAAGTGCGGATCTGTCGGTAGAGAAGTTAAAAGTTATTTACCTATAGGAATTGATTTAGTTAGAAAGAAAGAAAGAAAAAAGAAAGAAAGAAAAGATGGAAAGTCGAAAGAGAGGGAGAAGAACATAAAATTAGATTGTATGGATTGAAAACAAGATATTTTGAAATGTTAAAGAGAATCAGAGTAAAGAGAAAAGCTGAAGAAAGAAAGAAAGAAAGAAAGAAAGAAAGAAAGAAAGAAAGATGAAAGTCGAAAGAGAGGGAGAAGAACATAAAATTAGATTGTATGGATTGAAAACAAGATATTTTGAAATGTTAAAGAGAATCAGAGTAAAGAGAAAAGCTGAAGAAAGAAAGAAAGAAAGAAAGAAAGAAAGAAAGAAAGAAAAGACGGAAGGTAGAAAGGGATTGTAAGGATTGAAAACAGGATATTTTGAATTAAAATTGAAAGAAAGGGTAAAACAGAAAAGCAAGTAAATAATGAATGAAAGAAAGAAAAGAAAGAAAAAAGTACAAAAGAGAAAGAAATCGTAAAATAAAAAAGAGAAACAAAGAAAGTTTAAAACAGAAAAGAAAAAAAAAACAGAGATAAAATGGAAAATTCCTTAAAAATGTATAAAAAAAAAAAATAAATGAAATAAAGAAACAAATATAAACCCAAATAAAAATCAATGAATACAAATGAGAAAATATTCGTTCGATTTCGAATTTGATCAGGGGGTGTTGGGAGGCCTTGTAATCATGGCTAAGTGATGGAATCTTTCAAAATGTCCGCACACGGGACGGTCGGGACGTGGTTTGGTAAGAGGACATCAAGGGATTGAGGAGGCGGCTGGGAGATAGACAAGCGGGGGTGGGGGTTACACTGAGGAGATGACCATGTCACCCATCACCCAACTTCCTCCAGTCCAGTAGCTTCCGATATTCATAATTGTCACGTACAAATATTGATTCAATTTCCGCAGACGATAAGTATCCTATTCTAGGTTTCTATGGTATGTCCGTCAACACTGACTTCTTCCTGTATACACACACGTATACACACACACACACACAGATAGATAGATAGATAGATAGATAGATAGATAGATAGATAGATATCAGCAGGTTGAGATAGATAGATAGATAGATAGATAGATAGATAGATAGATAGATAGATAGATAGATATGGTCTAATGGATAGCGGCACGGATTAGGAATCGGAGATCCGAGTTCGAATTCCAATCGAATCGATTACGCTCACTTACGTTCTGTTTAGGAATATCGCCTTATGTAGTAACGAAAAGTCTTTGAAATTTGCATTTTACTTGCCCTTCAACAAGTTGGCATCTATTTGTAAAACTTTCCTTAATTATAACTGTGGTGGGCCCAGAATAGGTCCAAAAGAAAACTCGAACTCAGCAATTTTGTGAAAACATATTATTAAACAAAAAGAACGAATACAAAAGTGTTGCACGTCCGATTGACGGCAAAGTACAGTAGTCAACTCGTCCAGCTGTAGACAGCGATATTTAGTTAACACGAGGGTTACATGTGGCACAAGGCCGGTTTAACGAGCCCGTAGGCTCGGCCAAAGATAATCCCTTTTTGAACCTGCATAAACGGGTTCAGGGGCAGTCAACCTCTCCGAACGGAACTCTGCCCTTCGGCGGAGCCTCGTCCGGGTCACTCTCCGCCCGAAGGCAGAGAGTTCGACTGTTCAACTGGAACAGGTCAACTGTAGACAGCAATATTTAGTTACCACCCCCACGAGGGTTACATGTGGCACAAGGCCGGTTTAACGTAGGATCTCCGAACTCGTAGGCTCGGCTAAAAATAATCCCTCTTTGAACTCGCATAAACGGGTTCAGGGGCAGTCAACCTCCCCGAACGAGACTCTTGCCCTTTCCTCGGAGCCTCTTCCGTGTTCCTCTCTGCCCGAAGGCAGAGAGTTCGATTGTTCAGCTGGAACAGGTCAACTGTAGACAGCGATATTTAACAGTCCCCCCACAAGGAATGTATGTGGCACAAGGCCGAGTTTAACGTGGGTTTTTCCGAGCCCGTAGGCTCGGCCAAAAATATACCCTTTGAACCCGCCTAGACGGGTTCAGGGCCTGTCTACCTCCCCGGACGAAACTTTGTCCTTCGGCAAAGCTTCGTCCGGGTTCCTCTCTGCCAAAGCAGAGAGTTCGACAGAAGTCGTACACAGAAGACGTACACAGTCAGAGACTGCAGGTCAACTGTAGACAGCTCTCTTGAGAGGCATAATCTCCCCGTATATATAGTAATAGGACGAGTCCATTTAGTCCATAAAGGTAGGTCCCAAAACAATAACCAATTTATGAATGCAATATTCATTTAAAATTTTTGTTACAAAGATTTCAAGTAGTGAATATATCTTACTTTGCGAAGTGATAGCGAACGGACGAAGTACATGATATAAACCACTTTCCCCCTCGAAATGTATCTACCATTTCGTCCTTACTCTCCATCCTAACTGGCTTTTTTTTCTTTCTTTCTCTTTATTTTAATTCTTTTTTCCCCTTACTCTTTCTTTTCCTTTATTTATTTAATGTCTCTTCTTCTTCCTCTTTTCCTTTACTGTCTAGATCCTCACTACAATATTGAAAATCTATGTAAACTTATCCCAAGATTATCTGCGAGGCTCCCAAAATATATTCTTTCTTTTTTGTCTTCTTTTTTTTTCTTTTTCTTTGTCCTTCTCTATCTTTCTTTCTTTTTTGACTCTTTAAATGTTTAAATTTTAAGCCCTTATCACATTCAATAACACCTCTGAATTGATAAGATCCACAAAAAATCTATTGATCGAAATGAGGTACTTTTGAATTTTTAATCTCTCTCTCTCTCTCTCTCTCTCTCTCTCTCTACACACACACACATATCTATCTATCTATCTATATATATATATATATATATATATATATGATTTGTTCTGTGGTTAGCTCAATTGTTCAATCATAACAGTTAATAGTGTTCAATGAAAATAGAGGTTTTTTTTCAAAATATTGAATAATATCAAAGATTGTAAGATTTCACGGATTGCCAATTTGAAAATTTTCCATAATTCTGAAATTATTCTTTTATGTGCCGTGTCTCTGCGGGACGTAAGCGATCATGGTCCTCCACATCTTCCTGTCCCTTGTAGCTCTTAATGATCTTTTTAATTAATCTCTTAATTAATGTTTTTGTTATTTCTCCAAAACCCTGTTCTGCCATCCAATTGCTCAAGCTCATCTTTAAATAACACTGTTTTCCTCTTTACCTCTTTCCCTGAGTCGGTCCTGTGAGTATCAGGTTTTCCGAGCCTTCTTTCTTCATTACGTGCTCCACAAACACCAACTCTCTCTTCCTGAAGTTAAGTATAAGTTTCCTTTAGGTTTCCATTCTCTCCGGCACATATTATCATCAGCATCTTTCTGTAGAACCAAATTTCTGTTGCTTCAAGTCTCTTCCTCGTATTTGAGGAGATTTTCCAGCATTCGCTGCCATATAGGAGGACAGATATTATGTAACAGCTGAAATTAATGATTGAATAACATCACATATTGCATTAATAACTATTTCAGCTCAAGAAAGTATTGCAATAACAATCATAAGTCTTTCCATTTCACTGAAACAGGCGTTAATCGTAAGTTAATGAGTATCAGTCTATATTTCTGAGATGAGGTTTTATGTACACTATTTACATTATTCAGACTATTGTTCTCATCTTTGTCGCCATACTTATCACAACGTTTCGGCCTCTCAGTATCTGTCTATATTTCTGAGATGAAGTATTATGTACACTATTTACATTATACGGACTATTGTCCTCATCTTTGTTGCCATATTTATTACAACGTTTCGGCCCTTCAGTATCTGTCTATATTTCTGAGATGAGGTATTATATACACTATTTACATTATTCGGACTATTGTCCTCATCTTTGTCGCCGTATTTATTACAACGTTTCGTCTGTTGTATACTACGGCCTTCTTCAGGTGGTTGGAATGTCGAACTGAACCCTTTATTTCGCTTACTGGGGTAGACTGTTCTAGTTCCACATGCCATGTCTAATGGATATCAGTTACCAGTTATCTCCTGTTAATTGACAGAACTCAAAACGTTGTGAGTTCATTACCAGTTAAAGGCAGTGGAGAACATGGAAAGGAGAATTAAACAATGGACAAAGTCCGACAATTATTTTTAAGACATTTTTTTTTATGTTTATGCGTTCTTTTTATAAATATAAATATTGAAGTAAATGCTGAGTTTATAATAAACAGTATTAACAACATTTGCCGGACTGAATATCCGAGAAATTTCCATGGAAAATATGCGTCCTCTGACAGGAATCGAACCTATATCCTATAAAGAACGGTCATATAGCCTGACGTGCGTTAACCGATTGAGCCACAGAGGATCGTTTGATTAACAATGTCGATTTTATTGTTTTTAAACTACAATCTTCCATGAATCTCTCACGTACATTCATATCTACTCAAAGCGTATCCAACTGTAAACAAATGACGTCACACATTATAAATGCTCTGTCAGCCTATATAACGAATATTTTGTATAAAGATTTCTCGGATATTCAGGACGGTAAATGTTATTAATACTGTTTATTATAAAACAAATCATTTACTTAATTATTTGTATCTATAAAAAGAATGTATAAACATAAAAACGTCTTAAAAATAATTGTCGGACTTTGTCCATTTCATAATGTGTGACGTCATTTGTTTACGTTTGGATACGCTTCGGGAAGATATAGATGTTTTCTAGGAATTTTTTTCTCGGGCATTCAGGCCGGTAAATGTTGTTTAATACTGTTTATTATAAACAGAGCATTTACTTGCTCTGTTTATAGTAAACAGTATTAACAACATTTACTGAGCAGAATGCCCGAGATATTGTCATAGAAATTATGCGTCCTCCGACAGGAGTCGAACCTGTATCCTATACGGAACCGTCATAAAAACAGAGCATTTATTTAAATATTGGTATCTATTAAAAAAAAGAATGTATAAACGTCTTAAAACAATTGTCGGACACTTCATATATATATATATATATATATATATATATATATATATATATATATATATATATATATATATATATATATATATATATATATATATATATGTATGTGTTTGTGTATGTGTGTGTGTATGTATGTGTGTGTAAAGTTAACATGTAACTAAAATATATATATATATGTAAAAGGACAAAATGAATAAAGGCAAAAGAAAAACTTATCTTAGGCGACATATTTCGTCTTGTAATGGACATTATCAAGACAACAGAACGGATTTTACAACAATTGTTTTAAAAGAGAACGGGTAATTTCAAAACGTTCTCTCATTTAAAAATATATACATATATATATATATATATATATATATATATATATATATATATATATATATATATATATGTGTGTGTTTGTAAGTATGTGCGTGTGTATGTGTGACAATTCATATATAACTAAAAATTTATCTTTTAAAAGGAAACATGTGAATAAAGACGAAGTGAATCTATTCATAGCTGACACGTTTTACCTAAAAGATGCCGAAACGCGTCGGCTAATTTTTTTTTTCCTTTTGTTTTTATTCATATGCACACACACACACACACATATATATATATATATATATATATATAAAGGACGCGAAAGAACTGAAAATCTTTCACTCCGAACCAATTCCCCAGAATCAATATTCTGATTTTTGGTTATTAAAATACAGACTTTGGTAAGCGGATCGGACAGAAAACTTTTCACCACTCTCTCGTGCATATATATATATATATATATATATATAATTTAGAGACGGGTGCTTTAATCTGCTTGGTTGCTCGCTTTGATGTTTCGGGTCTGGACTTCTAAAATAGAACAACTTTTTCACGTTTCTTTGCTTTTAGTGATGGTGATTCGTTATAACGCAGGATTTCCAGACTTAAAAACGTAAGAAGCAAAAGTGGGACTGTTGCCCATGACCCGTATTTTCACCTGAGGGGAAGAAAGACAGTGAGGCACCAGGATTAGGCATATATTGGTTAGAGATACATAGATAGATAGATAGATAGATAGATAGATAGATAGAGAGAGAGAGAGAGAGATAACAAACAAAAATAGATAGATAGATAGATAGATAGATAGATAGATAGATAGATAGATAGATAGATAGATAGATTTGAAGAGACTGAGAATAGATAGATAGATAGATAGATAGATAGATTTGAAGAGACTGAGAATAGATAGATAGATAGATAGATAGATAGATAGATATGCAAACATATTGAGATAGATAATGAATAAAGCGAGATAGATAGATTATGCATAAAGTGACATCGATAGATAGATAGATAGATAGATAGATAGATAGATAGATAGATAGATAGAAAACAAACTAAAATAGATATATAATGAATAAACTGAGATACATAGATAGATAGATAGATAGATAGATAGATAGATATGCAAACATATTGAGATAGATAATGAATAAAGCGAGATAGATAGATTATGCATAAAGTGACATCGATAGATAGATAGATAGATAGATAGATAGATAGATAGATAGATAGAAAACAAACTAAAATAGATAGATAATGAATAAACTGAGATAGATAGATAGATAGATAGATAGATAGATAGATAGATAGATAGATAATGAATAAACTGAGATAGATAGATAGATAGATAGATAGATAGATAGATAGATAGATCCTGCTAGCGACATTATGATGTAAATGACTGTAACATTTCCGAAATAGGCTGGAAGAATTCGAATAACTTTTAAAAACAAGCAATTCTTTATTCAATAGGTACGTTTACTTAGAAAGGTGCAGGGATTTTTAAACGACTTATTTTAGCATGATTCTTAATGTATTGAATGTCCGACTGCCGAAACATTGCCATAACAAGAGCAAAGAAGAGAACAATAGACTTCATGAAAATCATGTAAATAAATAATTAAGGCGAATCTTTCGTGACCACTTTTGAACAGGAGAAATATTTCGAACCCACATTGAAATTTCTCGCTGCTGCGACGCAAATGTACTTCTACAGAAAGATGTTAAGAACGCCACAGACTGAATATGTGAGCAATGAGAAAGTTCAACGGAATAATCGAGATAAAACGGACACTTAGAATAAGGAAGAGAAAGCTGAAATGTCTGGCACCATTAGGAAGGAGGGCTTGGAGAATTTGACACTCACTGGGCATATTTAACGCGTGAGATTCCTAAAAAAAACATGGAGTAACCTACCCGTAAAGCTTAAGTAATTGATAGCAGAACAGGGAGTGAAAATGGTAGTATAAAGGAAACATTGCTCAGAGCTATAAAGAAACAAAACTGCTCTCTATTAATCACCACAGAGATCCTTCCCTGTCCCCATTAGAATGTCTGACGCTCAACTTCCCGAGAGCAACTCTCTGCGGCTGCTCGGTCTCACCTTGTCTACTGACCTGAGATGGAACAAATACATTGAGTCAATTGCCTCGTCCACCGCAAGGAAAAGTTGGCTCCCTGTGCCGCACCAGGAAATTTTTCTCCCTGAAATCGATCCTCCAGATCTACAAATTAACAATTCGCCCTTGCATGGAGTATTGCTGCCATATATGGTCTGGTGCCCCTTCTGTTTGCCTCGGAGTTCTTGATAGGCTCCAGAGGCGGATATGCAATGTAGTTGGCCCTGCCCTGGCGTCTCGTCTACAGTCACTTTCTCACAGACGCGCCGTCGCCTCTCTCTGTCTGTTCTACAAATAATTTCATGGAAATTGCTCCGAGGAGCTGCATTCACTGATTCCCAGACTTCATGAGTTCAAGCGCCCTACGAGGTTGGCATCCCGCTCTCAGCCCTTTACTGTCAAAACTCCTAAATGTAGCCGTCTCTTCTACTCCAATAGCTTCATGTCTCGCACCTCTCGCCTGTGGAGCTCCCTTCCATATTCCAGTCTCCCTGAGAGCAATAATCTCCAGCTATTCAAGTGTAATGTCAATCGACATCTCCAGTTGTTTTGATCTAACCACTACCCTTCTCCTCATCCTTTCTTCTATCACTCCTATCTGATCTTGCTCCAAATTTTCTGTAACCCCTTGCGTCCTAGTGGCTTCCCGCCTTGCTTGGGGTGAAATGTTTAAAAAAAAAAAAGAAATTATGGAGAGTAATGATCTCCAGCCTTCATAAAAGAACTATTCTTTTATTCATTTCACGATTTCTCAGTGTTATATGATTTCTTCTTTCTTTTTTTAACTTACACAAACAACTTATGAATTGAAATATCTTGAATACTAGAGAGAAAATACGGTCGTTAGCAAAATGAACAGCCCAAAAAGCAAACTACGAAGAGAAGTCCAAATAAAATCAAATGAAGAATCAGCAATATTATTGGTCTTGATCTGTTAACTCGGCTTCGGTTTCTTTCCCAACGCCGTAAAGCTACCCGCCTGCGCCTTTTCTATAAATACTTTCATGGTAATTGCTCGTATGGGCTCTTCCACTCCCCGCACAGACAATGAATTGTAAATATGTCGACTAGCTAGTATTTTCATAGAGACAGTGAGATATTATGGTGGATGTAGTAAGAAAGGTACGTATGAATGTGTTGTTTTGGTGTAAGGAATATTGTTCGTACGATTGGGTCAGTGTTTGCAGCTAGCTAAGTTATAGTTAAGACAGAACAAGACCGTCCTTTTCCCCAATCCCCTTTTCGGCCATGTGCCACATTTCTGTATATAACAGAATAAATATCGCTCTTCACGATGGTCAAATTTCTGTCTACGTTTGGAGAGAATAAAGCAACAATTTAAAAAAAAAGATGAACATATGAGACTAGTTAGGATTTCTGAGGTATTATGATGGATGTAGTAAGAATGGTAAATAAGAATGCGTTGTTTTGTTGTAAGGAATATTGAGGTATGTTTGGGTCAGTGATTGTGGCTAGCTAAGTTTAATTATAAGACAGAAGAAAACCAGCCATCTTCCCTCCCCCTATTGACCATATGCCACATTTTTGTATTTTAATGCAAAATAGATATCACTATCTCTCTATATTTCTGAGATGAGGTATTATGTACACTATTTACATTATTCGGACTATTGTCCTCATCTATGTCGCCATATTTATTACAACGTTTCGGCCTTTCGGTATCTGTCTATATTTCTGAGATGAGGTATTATGTACACTATTTACATTATTTGGACTACTGTCGTCATCTTTGTCGCCATATTTATTACAACGTTTCGGCCTTTCAGTATCTGTCTATTTTTCTGAAATGAGGTATTATGTACATTATTTACATTATTCGGACTATTGTCCTCATCTTTGTCGCCATATTTATTACAACGTTTCGGCCGTTGTACGCTCCGGCCTTCTTCAGGTGGTTGGAATGTCGATTTGGACCGTTTATTTCGCTCACTGAGGTAGACTGTTCTAATTCCACGTGCCATGTCTAATGGATGTTAGTTATCAGTTATCTCCTGTTAATTCCCCTCTCCAAGTTCTCTACTGCCTTAACCGGGTATTTAACTAACTAATGCCTTTATCCACTCTGACGTGTGTCCTTGAGGATACATGGCACAGTGGATAAAGGCGTTAGTTAGATCCAGTGACAGGACACAAAGAGTGTAAGTTCAATACCCTAAACTATTTAAATTTAAGCATAATACTTAACTGGCGGAGAGGTCTCATTAATTTACGGTTTAGTTGACGGGATGCAACCGTAAGTGCTATACTAACTTAGTTTTTTTTTCTCGCACTTTTCGCTTGTGGAACTCCCTTCTAGATCCATGGTTTCCAGTCAATTTTAATCTTCTAAAATTTAAATCCAATATCCACCTGATTACTTTTCCTTTGTTCTCGCTCCTTAGTAATGTTTCTGTCTTCGAATTTTTCCACACCCAGTAATTCTTTGTTTCTTAGTGGCTTTATTGCCTTGCTTGGGATGAACTTTATTTTAAAAGAACTGGGAACAGATGATTGAAAATACAACACAAACACCTGAAGGCGTGATGGAATAGCGAAAGATACTTTTCAGAATTTAAGCAAAGTATGGGTCTTATTCAACTTCTACTGTGACAGCATCCTAAACAAACTGGTGACCCGTGCAGAATTTATTATCGGTGAGTGTAATCTTAACAATAGGAGGTGCGCAGATGACACTGTGTTGATGGCCGATTCGAAGAGAAAACTACAGGACCACCTAGATCCCTAGGTAACAGAAAGCGTGAATAAAGGACTATCGACGTGAAAAGAAGACTGCAAGTATGGTCATCAACAAGAGAAAAGGCACAAGTTTCGCGTTACAAATTGGAGATGTAAGAAAGAAGTTCAAATATCTGGTAAGCGTTTTAACAGAGGATGGAAAATGTGACACCGAGGTCCGAAGTACGCATTGGTCTAACGGTAAATTCATTCTAAAAGAGGATGGAAAATGTGACCCCGAGATCCAAAGTACGCACTGGACTAGCGGTAAATGCATTCTAAAAGAGGATGGAAAATGTGACCCCGAGATCCGAAGTACGCATTTAACGAAAAATGTATTCCCAAAGCGAAGCAATGTTCTAAGAAACAGAAAAAATAGTTAAAAACAAAAAGGGCTGATTGGTTGGTCCGCTTTTTATGGCTTATCAACTCTTTGTAGGTTATTTAAAGCCAGAAAATATTTTTGGATTGTGGGATATTTTTTAAGATAATAATGATTTAGTAATATAAGTCTTACTAATTAACCCATATCTGGAGGAAGAGTTGGATTGAGACCTTCCTTAAGGGTATTTGCGCGTAAGTGAATATAACGAACCCAACTGGAATTGGAACTTGGCTCTTCCATTAATAATTCCGAGCCATTATCTATTACTCTACCCGCAACCCCAAGCACTTTGCATTCCCAAGTGATCACCCTTCTAGGTACTGACCAGATTTGACATTGCTTACCTTCGGTGATCTTACGGAAACCGGTGTTCCAACGTGATATCAATTCAAATCTCGGCCTACTTCTGAAAAACTGAATTTCCGTTGCCTCAAGTCTTCTCTTCGTCTATGTAAATGATTGTCCACTTTTCAGTGCCATATAGAAAGATCTCGATATTACATAGCGGTCCGGTTTAGTTTTCTTTGTTTCTAACAAGTTGTTCCCCGCTCTCGAATACTTTCTTTAGATTTTAGAAGGGATCTTTCGCTATTCCAATAAGCCTTCAGATCTCGGCGTCACATTTTTCCCCCGTCTGTTAAGAAACCTCTCATTTTCAGGGCTTGCTTGATTCCGAGCTCCCCAATTCGTAACTTGAATGGTTTCTCTTGATGACAACCATATTTTTATTTATTTATTTTTATTTCTTTGTCTTCTTACAGTTCAAGTCTTTCTTTTTATGCCTTTTCCTTTAATGCCATGTCGAGGATTTTCGGCAGTTTTGTTGCTGTGTCTGCAAATCAAAAACGGTGCCACCTGCGTATCTTTTATTGTTAAGATTGTCCCGACCAAAGGCTCGAGTTCTTAGGAATTTCAATAATATTGGCTGAGAACAAACCGCACGTCATGCAAAATGTTTGCTATTTTCTACGGTTGCAGAAAATGTGATTATGAAATGTCCAAAGAGTGGCGCCACAATGCAGGTAGTACCCACGTGAGTTGCACCTCAGGAAATCCCGAGGGAGCGTATTCTGGCTTGAAGGCGAGAAAATAATGATCCGAAAGCGGAACCTACAGGCGTAAAGGCTATGATAACGATGGAATTTCTTTCTCACTTTTACACTCTCTGATGAAAATACCTCAGTTTTATCAAGGTGGGCGTTTATTTATTTATTTATTTATAATTTACGTTCTTCGTATATTGACTCCACTTCAGATTATTCTATTTCCTGTCGTTTTTTTTTCTCAAATTTATCCTCCCTACAGTCTTTCTTTCTTTCTTTCTTTCTTTCTTTCTTTCTTTCTTTCTTTCATTTGGGATTTCATTTACCTTTCATTTTTTTTCTCTCAATTTTCCTTTCTAATCTTTCTTTCTTTTCAACCATCTTCTTTTTCTT